ACGCTCGGCCAGGCACCGTCTCTCGCCCGTCCAGGCTCCGACTAGTCACAGATTTTCTGGCCTCTCGTCGTATCGTCCCTGGCACTCCGCAGTTTCAGACGGTGATGAGCACCGATCGAGTTGATGAGATGGCACGGCAATGGCATAACCAGCATCGTAGCAGGAGCAGCGGAGCGCAGTGAGTGAGTAGCGAACTGTTTTCCACATCGAACTTTCTGTTTGTTGACTGTGCTGACAGGGGCCCTGCGTAGGACATCGGTTGCTGCAAGGCGGATCTGGCCATGGGGGCTCAGTCGTGTAGTGGCGGGGGCTCTGCGCTAGGCTCTTGCGAGCCCACCTTTTGCGTTCTCCTAATATCCGCCCGCCCTCCGTGGTTCCACAATGTACGCGCAAATCTGGAACCACGCCGCCTCTCATGGTGTCACTTTGTTGGTCGGATCTCGGCCTTGCCATGGGACACATTCAGGATTGCCCCTCACGGTCCCCTCACACGTCGGAGATCGTGGAGACGTAGGGCACCGTCCTGTCGCCTCGAGAACCAGCCTTTGGGCACGTTCCTGGCTTGATCAGGCTCGCCGCTCCATAGTCATTTGGCATTCAGGTCGTTGTTCTGCCCTGTGATGATTTTGAGATGGCTGCATTGCATCGTGCATCGAGCTCTCCCCAGAGACATCGGTTGGGGCTGATGGTGATTGTCTGCCTGGCTGTCTGTCTGTCTGGCTGTCTGTCTGTCTGTCTGTCTGTCTGTCTGTCTGTCTGTCTGTCCTCCTCCTCATCATCATCATCATCATCGTCATCATCATCAGCGCATTAGCATTATAAACATCATCATCAGCATCATTATCATCAGCATCATCCACATCATGATCATCTGCATCATAATCATCATCATAGTAATCAGCATCATCATCACCAATGTCATCGTCATCGTCATCCTCGTCCTCATCCTCCTCCTCCTCTCCTCCTCCTTCTGCTCCTCCTCCACCTCCCTCCGAGGCCGTCTCTGGAGGTCCTTGCCTCTCCTTCGGCCTCTCCCGAGGCTTTCGAGACCCAATAACTTGTCACCAGAAACTCTGTCCTCTTCCACGTAAGGTGTCGGCAGTACACTCGCCATGACACCGCCAGGAACGCTAGAAGAGGACCGAAGGAGCGTTCTAGCAACGGCGGGCGTCGGCCACGAACAGGCTCCCCTACCTCGATCGAGGGAGCGGCTCGAGAACTAGAGCCCCTCCCGAGTCCGGAGTGGTCCTTGCTTCAGCGTTTTGACTGTGCGGCGGGGCCACGTCGTGACGACGTCGGCGCTGGTTTCTGACACTGCGTGATTCCTTCAGCCTTGAACGATTACGCTGTTCCCACAGCGCAGGTCGATCGGTATCGGCCGATTCTGGGCCACAGGCGGCGCTCAACCTTGGACGCCCGCGCCTGGGTCGCTGCCACGTCGAAGCGGCGCGAACATGCCGTACCTCGAGCTTCGGGGCTCAAAAGTCTCATCCGTTGAGCGTTGCTGGCCCCTGCTTAAAGCCTCTGGAGGCCTCAGAAGTACTTCGAGGCCCGAGACTTTGGAATGTGCTTGGTCCTTATCTGGCCTCTGGAAGCCTCTGAAGCCTCTGGTGGAGGCCGCCCACATGGGAGCAGACCATATGGGGTCAGAGGATCGCGCTGCATGGCCGATGTCAAGGCAATGCATCGGCGACGTCGGGGTGGAGAACATCGGGCTCCGTATCGCGCCGCTTCGCCGATGCATCCAGGCTGCGGCCTGATCCTCCGACCCCATCTACTCGGGTTCGTGCCGGGGCGACTTGCGCGTCGGTTTCTAACACTGCGTGGATTGCTCAACCTTGACAATCCCGGTGTTCCGACAGTGCAGATACTTCGCCATCTGCAGACTCCAGGCAGCTGGCGACGTTCAGCATTGACCGCCCGCGCTCCGGCCGTCGTCGCGTCGGCACCACACGAACCCCGGGCGCACTCTGGCCCTGAGAAGGGCGGCGTGAATCTGGGGGGCTGCCCCTCTTGGCCCCCGCGGAAGGACGAAAGCGGGGACTGTCTCATCGGAGGGGCGGGACGCCGACATAGGATCGACGATGCTTAGCCGATAGGTCGGCGATAGGCCCCCGACAGCAGAACCCCACGCTCCTGTTCGGTGTGGGGTGGCCAAGCCCCGGTGGATGCAGAATGTGCAATTGTGGATCGATGAATTCTTCGGCGGCGCGCCGAGGGGGAAAGGGAGAGGGGGCAAGCCTTCTGGAAAGGGCGGCGGGGCTCAGAGACTCCTCTGGCCCTTTGAGGAGGCCCCCATGGCTTCGGAGATGGTGCCGAAAGCTTCTCAGAGGGCCGGAGGTCTCCCGAGCCTCCTGAGGACCGAGGAACGGGCGACTGAGGGTCGATGCGTCCCCCCCCGGAGCCTGTCCCCGCCCGTCGGTTGCCCCCGGCCCTGCCCCGGGGTGGCGGGGGCCGCGGCCAGGAGAGCTCCTCTCGCCCGAAGACCCGAGGCGGGGACGGAGTGGGCACCGCGAGGGGGCAGGGCCCCGAAAGAGAGCGCCCAGACGCCCGACGTGCAACGGGTCCTATGCCGGAACACGTCACGACCTTACGCTGCGGCTTGCGCGGGCCGCCAGCGTGGCACTCCGTTTGGAAACGAGTGCGCTCCCACGCAACCTTACGCGGGAAGCTTGCGCGGATGTCGGCGCAGACGACCCCGTGTTCCTCCGTCGCCCAGGTGTTATGACCACAAGCGCAGCACGATACCACTGATGCAAGCGGGCCTGGCCTGCCTGGGCCTCCTTGGCCTTGATCCTCTCTCGGCACCACTCGGACGACAACGACGACCAGGACACGAGCACAGAAGGGAGGGCGAGCGACCCGAAAGCGGCAGCTGGCCCTGCCAGGCATGCCTCGCCCAGCGGGGGGCCTCCCAGAGCTGTGGGCCATGGGGGACCAGAAACAATTCGCTGGGCACCAGTGGCCGCCGAGAGAACAGCCAGGACGAGATAATCGGTCCCCGGGAAGGGGGCGAGAGATCAGGAGGCCCGCTCCACGAAGTGAAGTCGTGTTGCCAAATGTCTGGGTCAGTTGCCTGCGTGGGTCGCCGTGCTGCCACAAGGAACGTCGAATCAGAAACGAATGGGCCAGGTAGACGGAGCGGCCCGAACGCCAGAGCCCCTCCTGAACCCCAGGCAGTCCTTAGTCTGTCTTCGCATTGCGACTTGCCCTTCCCAAGTCTCAACGCCGTACAGTTCGCAGTGTGCTGCCAGCAGGGCCCTCCGTGGGGCCTCTGAGGCAAATGGCTGCGGAGGCGGGGAAGCGCCAGAGCGCTCTGCGCGGGCCCAGGCAATGGCATCCTGAGCTTAAGGCGGTCAATGCCTCACCGCACGCAGGTGGGCCGTCTTCGCGCTCTCTCCTCGCCCGGGGCGGGAGCCGCGATCAGCCTCGAAGCGTGCGCAGAGGGGTGGTCGCTGGAAAGACGCCCGGCCACGTGCCCTCGGCAGGCTCCTACCATGTAACATGGATTCGCTTCGTCGCGGCGTCGGCGATGGCACGGCGCGGGAAGGCCTGGTTCGGGATGAGAAGCGGCAAATCAAGGCGAGGACGGCCGAGGAGAGGGGACTGCGGGGCGAGGTGCTCATAACGCGCAGTCCCTCACGCCAGTGTGGCGGCCCAGGAGTGGCACGTTGGCCATGGCCTCTGACACCGCGCGAGCCGTTCAGTCTCGACCTCCGCTCTTGGCCCCAAGACGCTGCCGGCCCCGCATGGACTTCGCGCGCGGGCCCCCCCGGCGAGTGAGGGCAGTGAGGGGCAACGATCGGGGATGACCGGCTCGGGGGGGGGGGCACGGATCTGGAATTCGCAATGCATCCTGGGCGAGGCGGGCGAGGCGGGCGAGGCGGGCGAGGTGGACATGGCGAATCCTCCTGGGCGAGGCGGGCTATCAGACCCCTCTCGGCGATCAATGGGCGATTGGGGGTCGATGCAGGCCCTCCTCCCCTGACGCGGGAGCCCGGGGGGGGGGGGCGTCGCCACTTCCCGGTGCGTCCGAGGGCAGGCCACAGCCTCGTCATCGGCCGTCGGCTGCACGGAGGAGTGGCCCTGGGCGGGAATGCCAGCTCGCTGAGCGTTGCGTGCGGCCCGCGTGCTTGCACTGCCCCCCCCCCCCGCCGCGCCCCTCGAAGGCGGCGCACCAAAGGCCACTCCGGCGAGAGGCCGCTCCTCCGCGTGGCCGATCTCGGCTCGGCCCCGCAGCGGACTCGCCGAGGGCCCGCGGCTGGGGCCGAGAGGGGGTCACATCCGGCGAACGCATCCGCAGGTATCCACGCGCTCGCGGTCTGTACTCCGCGGCGCTATCCCCTGCGTACGCGGTCACACGGATACGTTCCGCGGGGGCATCCGCGAAATCAAACGACCCATATCCGCAGGGTCGCGGCCCAGTGGCCTGGCCCGCGAGGCTGCGGATACGGATGTGTTCGCACACGAGGGAGGCTGGGCGAGGAGACTCCCTAACTCCTGCGAACTGTTCTGGTTTGTATTCCCAGATGCCGCACAAAGTGCTCCTGGACGGGAGGCTGCCCTGGGGGACGAGGCCGAGCATCCTCGGGCTCGCGGGTCGAGAAGCTTACTCCGACGAAGGTCTGTGTCGAAGGAGATTGCTGCTTGCTTCTCCTGCGCCTGTGCGGGATCCGGTAGACGCTTCGACTCTGCAGAGCTGAAGCACAAGAGAACTGTTTGAACAGCCAATAAGGTGGGATGAGAGAAGGGGAAAAAGGATCAGAGGGGAAGAAGATTGGCGAATAAGGAGGAGGCTGGGTCAGATCAGCAAACCATGAAAAGGATTAAGTACGGATCTCTGTAAGATAGATGGCATCTTTAGACGCCCGCAGCCCGAATCGGGCAAGCGACCAGCTCCAAGCTGGCCCGATCGGTGTGCTGAAGACCTCAAATCTGAGCTGCGCGTAGGTTGGCTGCTGGCCTGGCCCGAGAGCCTGGCTAACTGCTCGGCGGCGGGCCTTGTGGGGGCGCCCCTCGTAGCAGCTCATGGCGATCTTCGGGGCGTCCGGCATGACGACCCGGAGCCCCTCTGCCGCGAAGAGTCCCATCTTCCGCACATAGTCGCGGAGTCCCACCCTGGCGACGCCCCTCCCCGCATGGCGTCTCCAGCCCCAAAGAGGACTTTCGAGGCAGGCCGCTCGCACACGCTCCCCCAGCCCAATTCGAATCGCGGATTGAAGCGCGACTTTCCTCGCCGACTAGCTCCTAGCGAAGAAAACAGCGCTCAACTTGCAATGGTCGGCGTGACCCTGGCACCTGATTTTCCCTGTCCGTCTCTTGCGACTTCGCGGCATTGTCCCCCACGGAAATCGCATTTTGCTGAGGGGCTCCTGCGCACCAAAGTTTCACATCGGTCAACTGTCCCAAACAGCGTGGCCCTGGACGCTGGAATCGCCGAACAACCATACCACGGCCGCCACCGCGCAACGCACCCCGCAACCACAGCGCAACCACCGCGCAGAAGGTCGCCGCTACCCGCAACCCACCTAACAGCCACCGCGCAATCTACCCCGCAACCCACGGCGCAGCCACCGCGCAGCCCGCCCACCGCGCGTCGACAATTCGGTTCGAAGAAATGACAGCAGAAACCTCTCCCCGGTCCTTTCTTTGCGAGCCTTCGTGAGACGATTTGCTCATGGGGTGTGTTGCCGACTTCTCGACCATGCGTAGCCTCATACGGGCACCCCGAATCAACCAACATCAAGCTGAATCTGGACCGACGGCACTGCAAACAGCTTGTCTTGGGGCCTCTGGGGGGTGCTCTTGCGGTCGTCAGGACGGTCGGCAGGCCAATCGTGAATGGGCACTGTTGACCTCCGCGCGATCTTAAAAGGTTTTGGGGGGCCTGTCTGGGACATCTTGTGGGGCTAGCTAGCACGATCAAAAGGGCAATAATGGCAGGATCATACAAGAATCCCACCAGTCCTCTGGGCTGCAGATGGCCTAGGGTTGTGCCCCACGCCCCACTATGCAATACTTGAGTCCCTGGGCTGGGATTTACCACTGCTCCTTATGCACCACCACGCCGCTGGGCAAGGCGTGGGCGTGTCTTCCCGTGCCTTGCCCAATCACTTAAACCCCAGTCCTCACTCCTGCAGAATATTCAAAGGCCCCGACCACAAATTTACAAATCGCCTGGACCTTCCATCGTCTCCTCAGGGCGCGGTTTGTCGCGCGACCGTTTCGGGTCCAAAAGGGCCCCGACGCGGGCCGAGAGGGCCGCTAGAGGCCCCAAGGGCGATTCAAGCGGCCGCTGGAATGCTCAAAGGTCGAACCAAGGCGCACCAAGAGAGCTCCAAGAGCATCCCCAAGAGGGCCCCGAGAGGGCAAAATCAGGAAGCCCCACACTCTTGTATCTGCGAGGACTCTCATGAACGAACAGCCACGCGTAAATGCGCTCGCAAGCTGCAAGACGTGCTAGCCTTGAAAAAGGAACACGGGATGGATAATAAGCGCGGGCGGTCACGCCCCACGCATATGTTCGGTGGGGGGCCGACTCACTCAAACAACGAAACGGAGCCAAATGGCGACGACGCATACACATGAGCCAAGGGTATCCTTAACCTGCAAGCGCAAACCAGAACGCCCCGCGCTCTTTGGACTTTGATGACCGGACAGCCACGCGTCCATGCGCTCGAAAGCTGTGAGAACATTCAGCCCAATCCACTCCCAAAGCTGCGACTATACAGAGACGCGCCAGACAGACAACAGAAAACGAGCAAACTTGCGATTGAGGGTGGGCGGATATGCTGCAGCGATCGCTGCCCACTTCGTTTCGTTAGGAGCGCGGCCCTCGAATACTATGCGTTCGCGGCCAGCACGCGAGCATTTACCATTGATTCGCGTGCGCCTTTTGTCGAGCGAACAGCTGTCTAATGCATCAAAGCTGAAACACAAAAAGCGGGCCCTCTTGCGTCACCTGGCCCCCTCTTGACTCTTAACATAAATCGAAACAACGAATTACAGCCCCCCGTAGAACACCCCCCCGAACCATTTTTCGTCAGAAAGACACACTAATGCACCGGATGCTCCAGGAGACATGGCGCTAAGAAGTTCTCAGAGCACCGCAGACTGGCCAGGACCGCTCGCATGGTCTCACTGCCGAAGGCCAGGCGAGCGGCTTGCTAGATGCAGCCCCCACAGCTGCTGGGCGCTGCGGACGGCCCCTACTCGTTCAGCCGCCGTCGTCCAGGACCCGCAGGGTGGCGCCGCCGTCGCTGCCACCACGCGCCCTGCAGCAATGTCCGAGCACAGGCCTCTGAGCACCTCGCGCCGCCTGAAGTCGCCCTCTGGGCCGCGCAGCGTGTCCCAGAACCTCGCGTGCACCCCCTCGCCCATGGCCACGCTCCCCACCCCGACTTTGCCACTGAAGCAGTCGGCCAGATTCTGGCCCCTCAGGCGAGGTCGAGCGCCTGCAAGTCGACCGGCGAGGCGCGCCCTAAAATGATCTCCTCGAGCTGTGCCTCGCAAGCCAAAAACGCGTCTTGCTGGGCCTTTGTGGGCATCGACCGGGTCGCGGCAAGCCGACCCTGCTTCTCGCATTTACCTGGCGACGCGGCGCGTCGTGCGCAATTGGCCTGTATTCTGGACCTCGCCCAGCCGCCTCCACTTCCTGGCCATGTCGATGGAGTCCCCCGAGCGCCGCATCTGGCGGGGCGCTATCTTCGGACGGGCCCCCAGGGCTTGGAGGCTCAAGCCTCGCAGTGTTGCAGTGCTCGGGGTAAATGAAGTTCCAGAGACACTCCGGATTTCTCTGACGTCGAGATCCCAGAGCATCGGGCCCACCCAGCGGATCCAGGGTGAGCCCAGCTCCAGCGACACGTCCCCTAGGCACGTCTTGTCGAGTGCTGACACGCCCTCGCCGCTGGGGGCACAAGGCGCGAAGGGCGGAGCGTCGGCAGGCGGCTGGGCCGCGCGCAGACGCTCACCGTTATCAGCGCGAACGCCGCGATCTGGAGGCCGCCGCACTCCCTGCATGCGCCAGGCCATGGCGCGCCAAAGGGTCAGCGCCCAAAACTTGCGAGCGCGGGGCGGCTCCAGGCGCCGCCAAGCCCGGGGGCGCCTCCAACCCTGGGGGAGGCGGCGGGCACCATAACGCATGAAATCTGGGTTGAAGTGCAGCACCCAAACCATCAGGTTCTCGGCGCAGGAGGGGTGCGTGCCATGCTGGTAGAACGAGTTCAGGTAGCTCACCAGGAGCCAATCTGTATATTCAGGCCGATCACGCGCGTGATCGGGGGGGGTCCATCGCGCCGATCCGCCGATCACGCCACGGCGGGGTTGTGCTTGCGGAGTTGCAACAAGTCCGTAAGCACAACAATGCGCTTACGAAAAAATCCCCTGCGACCCGACAATCACCACGCGCCTGTGACTGATGTGCGGTATGTCCGTTTCTCAGCTTGAGTAAGATATGGCAATGGTCACAATAAACGTCACGGCATGCACATCCGAGAGCTACCCGATCAGCCCTCCTCGCCGCCGCGTCGAGCTCCCTCGAGACTCGACCCAGGCGATGTCCGGGTTGCTCCAGCGAAGCTGAAAAGAAACCTCGCACGCCTCGCCACATGTAACCTCGTAGAAACATGCCTGCGTACACGAAAACACAGTCGCCTGACACGGGCGACATCAAACGAAAGTCATGCCTGCACCTTTTCTTTGCCCTCGGGCTCGCAAGCTAGGTCAGGCTCAAGCAAATTGCCTGCGACCGCGAGAGAGAGGTCAGACTTGCCCGCGGCCACGAAAAGTCCCAGCAGTCCCAGCATCTCATCCAGCTCCTTTGCGCTAGATGCTTCGTACCGAGATCTGCCACATTGACCTTGCCGAGCGTCTAGGAAAAGATGACTCGACGCTCGGTCACGTGACGCTGGAGCCAGAGAGTCTTTGTCTCGATGTGTCGGATGCGCCCCGCCCCTCGGCGATGCGCGATCCCACTGGCCGCCGTAGCGTCGCCAGCCAAACATAGCTCCAGCTCGTATCCCATGTCGCGCGCCAGCGAGACCAGGCCGATCCCGCAGGACGATGTGTGCACTAGAGCATACCACTCGGCCTAACCTGAGCTGAGAGCCTCACTGCCCTGGGTCGCACTGAAGACCCTGATCATGCGATCTCCCAGCTGGAAGACTCCGCAACTCGTGCTCTTCCTGGTCCCCAGGCAGCCCGCGAAGTCGCTGTCCGAGAAGCCCTTGAGCACAACTGACCAGCGCTGGCGTCGGAACCTCTGAACCAGTCTCGGACGGCCCAGGAGATACTTGGCAATCCTCTTGACTAGCTCCATGCCGTGCTCACACGGCTCGTGCATGTACTTCGCTGCCTCCTTGACTGCGTACTTGATGTCCAGGCGGTCCTCGCTGAGATAGCTGGCTCGCGTGACTAGGCTGCGGTAGCGAGTCGCCTCCTCGCCCTCCAGGACCCTGCCACGGTCCACGCTCTTGGCCTTCACTCCTGGCGTCGAGAGGGCCTTCGACCCGCGCCAGAGGTTCAGCTGCTGCATCATGATGAGCGCGTGGCGGGAGTCAGCCTCGAGCTCCACGTCACCTCTCGAGGTCCAGCGGAAGACGCGGTTCAGGCAGACCACCTCCTGAACATCACCAGCACTCTTGTTGGGTCCCAACGTGCCCTCGAGTTTGACCCACTTGTACTTCTGCAGTTCACGGTAGAACTCCAGGCTGTCGGTGCGGGAGCCCTTTCGCACAAAGTTGTCGCCGTAGACGTAGGCCACGAGCTTGCCGTCGCCTCTGCGGTATATGCAGGGACACCACACGCCGCAGGAGAAGCCCATCTTGCCCTCCAGCGTCTCGCGGACCAACAGCTCGAAGTTCTAGCCTGCGTCGCGGCAGCCGTAGAGGCACCTGACCAGCAGCCCACGCGCGCTGGGGTCAGCTGAGCGGGGGTCCCCCGCAGGAAGCTCCACCCACAACTTCCGCTTCATCTCGCAGTGCGGGTGAGCCCTAGTGATGTCCAGGAACATGAGGACGTGCTGGTCCTCCTCGGCGTTCCTGGGCGAGCAGCAGAAGGAAATCAACATCCTGAGAGCCTCATACGGGGGTGTCGCACTGAACGTCTGCGAGGGGCCCCCCAGGTCCATGCTCGTGCGGTAGCGTGTCTCCGCTACGCGCAGCCTGCAGCGGACGTTGGGCTTGCGGTCGTCGCCCTTGTTGACGTCCACCCAGACCATGGGCACCGGGTCGCGCCCGGTCTCCTCGCGGCAGCGCTGCTTGGTGTCGTGCACGCAGGCGCCCAGGCCGCGGAGAAACTCCATCTCCTCCTTGCGGCCAGCTGCCACGAGCTCGGGGTCCAGAGCGGCCCCGCTGATGTTGTCGACGATCTCCGTGTAGTACTCTGGGTAGGCGCCCCAGATCGGTGGCTCGTCCAGATGCGGCCCTGCTTCCAGCGCACCCAGCTGGCCGCGAGCAATCGCCTCGCGACGCAGCCCACGCAGCACCGCAGCCACAAGCTTCGGTGGGTACCGCTCGATGATGCGCATGCCACGCCGACCTAAGCCGACCGTCTGGCAATGCCTAGCACACCCAGGACACCGACGCGTCAGCTCTCGGGCTATCTCGGCGGAGTTGGTCAAGCATCCCGTAGGCTTCTTGACCGGCGCCGGGCCGGCAGCATCGGTGCACCACAACCCATGCGCACATTGATCGCACTCGACGTAGTGTACTCCTGGCATCTCGGCGATCTCTCGGATCATCCAGAGACGCCAGCTCCTCGATGATGCTGGCTGCTCGTGCAAGAAGAGGCGGCCAGCCTTGATTTGCTCCTTGTAGCGCTCGGCACAGAAGACCAGGTGGACAACGCCTCGCTCCATGATGGCGTTGACGTCCACACCCTGGATGACGTTGAGGGCCTGCAGGTTCGACCGCGGCGCGCACATCGGGCTGCCAGTGATCAGCAGTGGTTGCTCCAGCTCGATGGTGGCCTGCGCCCGCTGCCTGTCGCCCTCCTGGCTGAAGTCGTAGACGGTCCTGATGTCGTAGGCTGTGCCGGGCTCGAGGTCGAACGCGCTCGACCGAGACGTGAACCGCCCTGGGCCGCGCAGCTCGCTGACGGCCACCCCCCAGTCACCGAAGGCCGCCAGCAGCGCGCAGAGCTCCAGCGAGTCCGCGCCCATGGCATCCCCAGCTCCAGGCGGCGCCTGGAGGAGCCCGCTCGACCCAGCAGCCTGTGCCTGCGGCGTGGCTGGCGCCTGCGCGGGCGTCCTGGGCTGCTCGCCGCTGATCGCGGGCGCGAGGGGTGCTGGACCGCCTGGCGCCGCGAGGCGGCGCCTCGATGCCTGCGGCAACTCCGCGGGCGAGCCTCGACGCTCAGCATCTCGTCGGCAGGTCGCTCGATCTCCGGCGCCTCAGCCGGGCTGGCTGCCTGAGGCAGTGCCTCGGAGCCCGCGCCCTCCTGGCGCGCGGGCGCCCTGTCAGCAGCCTCCAGCTGGCGAGCCGCCGCTCCGAAGACTGGGGGGGCAAGCCCCGGGTCGTTCGCCATGGCCTGCTGGATGCGCTCACGGCGCCCCGAGCTGTGGGCCCTGGCTGGCGCGCTGGTGCGGGCCGCGAGGCAGCCCGGGCACCCGTCTGTGAAACCGTACTTGGCCAGCTTCACGCTCCTGCGAATGTATGCGTTCCGAGGCTCAGCTGGAACCTGCTCTGGCACAACCCTCGGCTGCCGTGCAGCGGGGTCGACGGGGGTTTCGTCAATGACCGTCGGGGTGCGAACGTTCTCTGGCTTGTCCGGGGTCGGCATCCACGGCGCGCCCCTAATCGAAAGCAGCAGGGCTGCATCAGCCCGCTGGCTCGGCGGCCTCCTCCTGATAGACCGCGCGCGTGCGACTCTGCCGTCGTAGCCGACGAGCATCTCGCTCGACTTCTCGATGACGCCTAGGAAGAGCCAATCTCCCAGCGCCCCTCGAACTTGGCGTCACGCCTCGCACTCGGGAGGAACACGATGATCTCACCGAAAGGCGGCAGCACCTTGCGGAAGGCCTTGCCCTTGTGCCTCTCGCGCGGCGTCCGTCCATCGGCGCCGACCTTGCCGCGATTGATGCATCCTGCAGCGCGAGCAACCAGCCAAGTCAACACTGGATGGTCGTTCGGGATGTCTGCGCCGTGCAGAAGGGACAGGGCGACTCGCAGAGACCGTGCTACGCCCTTGACCTCCATCACTGCGACCTCTGCCAGGCCGTTGCTGGCACTGTCGTTGGCCGGCGCCTCCTCGGGCGCGACCTCGAACTTCAGATTCCTGAGGCGGATCGTCGCCTCTCGCTCGAGCGCCACCAAGGCACCCTCACCATCCGACTTGTAAATGATCTTCGGGTGGCCGGTCGCCTCCACCTGGCAGAAGGCGCGGACCACGTTGCACTCGTGCTGGATGCCCTCGGACGGGAGGACGTCAGCGCTGACCCGCGAGGTGGCCGAGTCGATGCCGACGAGGATGGGGGGCGCGGACTGGCCCGACTCCACCTCCGCCCGCTTCACAAGGCATCCGTAGTCAACTGCAAACGTAGGTATAGCATGCGCTCTGCTAGGAGCGCCCGCTGGGTGACCATCGGCGCGGCCACGCCCAGCCAAGCAGCAGTAGCACCAGTCTCTGAAGGGTTCGTGACCTGCCGCTTCGCGTTGCTCGATCTCTGCCTGGGCAGGCTCCCTCGGCCCCCGTCGTGCTCGCACTGGAGCGGGCTGAGATTCGTGTCGCTCCTCGGCGTCACCCTCGAGCTCGATTGTACTTCCAACTCCGTCGTCCCCTGCCACGGCAGCTCCACCTGGCGGGGCGCGATCACCTGCGGCTGCGCCGAGGTGACTCTCGACGGTCGCAACTTGGCCATCCTCAACTCCATGAGGTACCACTCCTGTCTCACAAGCGACGCCATTCAACGCAGGAGGTCCCGCTGCTGGCGCCATCATGGCCGGTCTTCCGACAGCGCCTGCCGCCCGAAAGGGCGCAAGCGCTTCTTATCATGTGGCTTGCTGCAGCCAGGGCAACCCTCGACCGAGCAGAGCGGCAGCTCCCTCGCGGGGGTCTGGGACATCTGGGTCACCTCCTTCGCTGGCACGATGCTCGCGTCCAGGTCCCATGTGCGATGCCTCCGCGTGAAGCGGGCGGTCTTGCCACTCTCGATGTGAACAGCGTGGCTGATGTCGTTGCCGTGCTGGTCCTGCTCGAAAACCACGCGATGGCCGCTCTTCACAAGGTCGAAGACCGAGGGCAGCGGCCGCCTGACGCCCGTGACACGGGCCCTGATGCCACGCAACGCACCACCGGTCTGCGCCATGAGCTCGCGCTGGCCCTCATCTGGGATCGGCTCGCCCGTCGCGCTGAGGCACCGCGCCCCCGACGGCCTCTCCGTGATCGGATAGTCGGTCCCCAGCGCGCGCGGGGTCGCCGCGACCGCCGCGCTTGAGTCGATCCCGAAGCGCACCGTCTCACAGCTCGGGGACATGGTCGACAGGTCGAGCGCCGCCAGGAAGAGGCCGCCCAAGCCCTCAGGAGGCTCAGGCTCGCCAATCTCGCCCAGGGCGCCAGACTTCTCGGCGACCGGGCAGTCCTTGACCAGATGCGCTGTCGAACCACGAGTCCAGCACGGCTTCGGCTTCGGTGCGTCACCACCCTTGGCTTCGCCTTTGCCTTTGCCGCGACCTCGACCTCCACCGCCCTTCGGCGGTGCCTTGCCTGACGCAGCCGTCGTATTCCACCGGCAGTCTCGCTTCCAGTGACCTGTCTTGCCGCAGATCGGGCACGGCCTGGTCGGCAGGTCGTCGGCGCCCTTGCCTTTGCCGGCCTTGCCGCCCCTGCCCTTGCCGTTGCCGGCCTTGCCGTTCTTGCCACCATTGAAGCCGAGAGCTGCCAGCTGTCGCGCCGGGGAATCGATGTCCATCGGGGTCGAGCCTGTGCCAGTACTCGCCGTCGTCGCAATCTGGGCCCGCCTGAGGTTCTCGACCTCGGCCTTCACGAGCTCCCAGGTGTTCAGCCGCTGGCTGTTGAGGAGCAAGTGGTGGCGCAGCGGGCCCTCCTTGAGCGAGCGGACCAGGATGCCTGTCTGGATCTCATCGGGAAACTCCGCGCCCACAGCCTGCTCGTTGCGCTTGACATTCCTCTCGAACGCAATCGGCTTCGAGGGGGCGTCACCCTCGAAGTCCCACGAGAGCAGCTCCTGCAAAAGCCCTGCTGCTCGGGTGCGGCTCTGAGGCTCGTGGAAGGTGACCAAGGCCCCGCGCCTCCAGCCCCTCGTTCACCCCCGCACTGACAATGCGGTCCAACGAGAGCCCCTTGTTCAGCATGACCAACATATAGTAGGGCTGGATGCTGAGGCGCACCTGGTCGTCGGGCAACGTCGCGTTCAGCACTGGCGCGTCGGCGTGCTCAGCCCTGTCCATGGCATCCTTCAGGGCTGGCTCGCACGCGCTGGCATAAGCTCGGAAAATCGTACTCCAGTCAGGCCAGGTCCCAGGCTCGCCGTTGAAGTCACTAGGCTTGCCGAGGAACTGTGTGTCAATCAGTGTGTTTGTCTCCTGCGGCGGGCCACCAGGCTGGGCTGCTCGTTGCTGCTGCTCTTGACCTCGGGCCTCCTGAGCCATAGCCTCTGCCGCCTGCACTCTGGCCTCGGCGGCCTCCGCCTGAGCTGCCAGCCGCTGGATGACCTGCTGCTGCTGCTGCTGCTGCTGCGCCTGGGCGAGTGCCTGCTCGAGCTGTGCAAACCTGGCCTCGTCCATGCTCGTCGTTGACCTCTCGGCCGCGGGCCTTGATGGCCTTGAGAGCCTCGCAGTGCCACCTGGTCCGGCGCAGCGCCAGTCGCAGCAAGCCCGTCACGATGATCGCCCAGCTCTCGAGCGGCGATCCGAGGACTAGCTTCCAACCAGTCTCGTCTGCGGCCGCCGTGGCCGCGCAGGCGTCCGTCACAGACGCTGCGGAGAAATGCGCAGCGGTATCGCAGGCAAGCCGACCAACCTTGCTCCGCGCTACCATGATATACGGTATGTCCGTTTCTCAGCTTGAGTAAGATATGGCAATGGTATCAATGAGCGTCACGGCGTGCATATCCGAGAGCTACCCGATCAGTGACCACCGCCACAAAAACTTGCGATCCGATCAACGCGACGTGCCTGCGAAAACCACACTGCTTTTCTTGAAGAACACAGCGTCCGTGAACACCAGAAGCGCCTGTGAACATGAAAGCGCCTGCGAACACAGCGCCTGCGAACACCACATCACCTGCAACAAAAAAATACACATCGCCTGCGCACACTGCACAGCCGGAACACGCCACAACGCTCGCGAACATCACAACGCCTGTGAAAGCAACACGCGCTAGCACCGCAGAGCCTGGGGTCCGGCGGGAGTGTACAAGCACTAGCAGTAGCAGTAGCGGTAGCAGTAGTCGAAGTAGTAGTAGCAGCAGCAGCACACCAGTCGCAATAAATAGTAAGAGTAGCAATCGCAACAATAGAAGCGGTAATAAGAATAGTAATCGTAAAATAGCAGTACTCCTGGCTGTAGTAGCGCGGTAGTAGTAATAGTCCTGGTAGTAGTCGTGGTAGTAATGGTGAAAGTAGTAGTAGTAGTAGTAGTAGTAGTACTAGTAGTAAAAATAGTACTGGTAGTAGTAGTAGTAGTAGTAGTAGTCGTCGTAGTACTAATAATAACAGTGGTAGTGGTAGTGTTAGTAGTAGTAGTAGTAGTAGTAGTAGTAGTAGTAGTAGTAGTAGTAGTAGTAGTAGTAGTAGTAGTGGTAGTAGTAGTAGTCGTAGTAGTAGCAGTAGTAGTAGTAGTTGTTGTAGCAGTACTGGTAGTATTAGTAATGGTATGTGTAGTAGTACTAGTAGTAGTAATACGAAAAATAATATTAGCGGTGGTAGTAGTAGTAGTGTAGTAGTAGTAGTAATAGTAATCATAGTAGTAGTAGTAGTAGTAGTAGTAGTAGTAGTAGAAGTAGTGGTAGAAGTAGTAGTAGTAGTAGTAGTAGTAGTAGTAGTAGTAGTAGTAGTAGTAGTAGTAGTAGTAGTAGTAGTAGTAGTAGTAGTAGTAGTAGTAGTAGTAGTAGTAGTAGTAGTAGTAGTAGTAGTAGTAGTAGTAGTAGTAGTAGTAGTAGTAGTAGTAGTATAGTAGTAGTAGTAGTAGTAGTAGTAGTAAGTAGTAGTAGTAGTAGTAGTAGTAGTAGTAGTAGTAGTAGTAGTAGTCGTAGTAGTAGTAGTAGTCGTAGTAGTAGTAGTAGTAGTAGTAGTAGTAGTAGTAGTAGTAGTAGTAGTAGTAGTAGTAGTCGTAGTAGTAGTAGTAGTAGTAGTAGTAGTAGTAGTACTAGTAGTAGTAGTAGTAGTAGTAGTAGTAGTAGTAGTAGTAGTAGTCGTCGTCGTCGTTGTAGTAGTCGTTGTAAGAGTCGTAATAGTAATAGAAATTCGCCGGCCCAACGGGCCAGAGGCGTGCTAATATCTCCGGTAACTAGTTAACAATATTTCTAGTTCGCGCGCGCGGGGCGGCCCCTGGGGGCCCCCGGACGAAAAATATCCCGGCCAAGTCCCTGGCGATCCCCAGGGGGGAGGCTATTTTTCGTCACCCCTCACGAAGATCATGGCCTCCGAGGGGGTGGCTGCAATCGACTACCCCCCCTCCCGCCCCAAGGGGCCCCCAAAAGCCCCCTAATAGGCCCCAGGGAAGCCCAAGACGCCGCCAAGGAGCCCCAACAAGCTCCCAAGAAGCCCCCAAGAGGCCCCGAAGTCGGCCCCAAGAGGCCCCAAATAACGCTCCAGGGCCGGCGGAATGAGCGAAGCGATAAAATAACGGTGTTAGCGTTAGTAGTAGTAGTAGTAGTAGTAGTAGTAGTAGTAGTAGTAGTAGTAGTAGTAGTAGTAGTAGTAGTAGTAGTAGTAGTAGTAGTAGTAGTAGTAAGTAGTAGTAGTCGTAGTAGTAGTAGTAGTAGTAGTAGTAGTAGTAGTAGTAGTAGTAGTAGTAGTAGTAGTAGTAGTAGTAGTAGTAGTAGTAGTAGTAGTAAGTAGTAGTAGTAGTAGTAGTAGTAGTAGTAGTAGTAGTAGTAGTAGTAGTAGTAGTAGTAGTAGTAGTAGTAGTAGTAGTAGTAGTAGTAGTAGTAGTGTAGTAGTAGTAGTAGTAGTAGTAGTTAGTAGTTAGTAGCAGTAGTAGTAGTAGTAGTAGTAGTAGTAGTAGTAGTAGTAGTAGTCAGCGTCAGTAAAAATAGTAGTAATATAGTAGTAGTAGTAGTAGTAGTAGTCGTAAGTAGTAGTAGTAGTAGTATAGTAGTAGTAGTAATAGTAGTAGTAGTAGTAGTCGTAGTAGTGGTAGTAGTAGTAGTAGTAGTAGTAGTAGTAGTAGTAGTAGTAGTAGTAGTAGTAGTAGTAGTAGTAGTAGTAGTAGTAGTAGTAGTAGTAGTAGTAGTAGTAGTAGTAGTAGTAGTAGTAGTAGTAGTAGTAGTAGTAGTAGTAGTAGTAGTAGTAGTAGTAGTAGTAGTAGTAGTAGTAGTAGTAGTAGTAGTAGTAGTAGTAGTAGTAGTAGTAGTAGTAGTAGTAGTAGTAGTAGTAGTAGTAGTAGTAGTAGTAGTAGTAGTAGTAGTAGTAGTAGTAGTAGTAGTAGTAGTAGTAGTAGTAGTATGGTAGTAGTAGTAGTAGGGTAGTAGTATGGGCAATCGCAATAGCAGTGGCACTGGTAGTAGTAGTAGTAGTAGTAGTAGTAGTAGTAGTAGTAGTAGTAGTAGTAGTAGTAGTAGTAGTAGTAGTACGAGTAGTAGTAGTCGTCGTAATAGTAGTAGTAGTGGCCGTAGTAGTGATAGGACTCCGAGTGGTATTGGTACTGGTGCGAGTAGTACTGGTAGCAGTCCTGCACATAGTAATAATAGTAATAGCAGTAATAGTAGTGGTCGTAGAAATACCACTAGTAGTACTTGTACTAGTACTAGTACTAGTACTAGTAGTAATAATAATGAGCAAAGTCGCCGCGGTAATACTAGTAGTGGTACCAGTAATACCAGTAGCATTAGTGAACACATTAGTAGTAGTAGGGAGAATAGTAGCAGTATTAATAGTAGTAGTACTAGTGGTAGTAGTAGTAGTAGTAGTAGTAGTAGTAGTAGTAGTAGTAGTAGTAGTCGTCGTAGTCGCAGTCGTAGTCGTAGTAGTAGTGGTGGTAGTAGTGGTGGTGGTAGTAGTAGTAGTAGCCGTAGTGGTACTAGTAATAGTAGTACTAGTAGTAGAGGTACTAGTAGTAGTGGTAGTAGCAGTAGTAGCAGGCGTAGTACTGGTATTAGTAGCAGTAGTAGTAGTAGTAGTAGTAGTAGTAGTAGTAGTAGTAGTAGTAGTAGTAGTAGTAGTAGTAGTAGTAGTACTAGTAGTAGTAGTACTGGTAGTAGTAGTAGTAGTAGTAGTAGTAGTAGTAGTAGTAGTAGTAGTAGTAGTGGTAGTAGTAGTAGTAGTCGTATTATTATTAGTAGTAGTAGTAGTAGAAGAAGAAGTAGTAGAAGCAGCAGTATAGTAGTAGTAGTAGTAGTAGTGGTGGTAGTAGTAGTAGTAGTAGTAGTAATAATAGTAACAGTAGTAGTCGTAGCAGTAGCAGTAGCAGTAGTAGCAGCATTAGTAGTAATAGTAGTAGTAGTAGTAGTAGTAGTAGTAGTAGTAGTAATAGTAGTAGTAGTAGTAGTAGTAGTATCTGTCGTAGTAGTAGTAGGGTTACCCGTGGTCTGTGCTACCACTTTTGAACGCATGGTAAAGGGGTAAGGTTTCGGGTTCGGGTTCGGGAAAGCGCCCGCGATAAAAAAAAAAAACAAGTGCATATGCGATGTCTACTATGTATATGGCATAAAAATTCCTCCGGAAAGTTGAGCTCCTGTGGACAGCGACGCTTATCTGGAATCGGCAGAAACATGCATTTGTTATATAGAATTGTGCTGAGGATCCCTGTGGAAAACGGAGCTCCTTTTTGGAACCTTGCAAAACAATGACCTTTTTTGTATAGAATGTAATAAAGATCCCTCTGGAAAGTGGACCGTCTTCGGAATCCGGTAGACATGATAATTCTTTTTGCAAAGTGATAAGTAACGGCACGTGCGTCAAAATAGCCGGATTCGCGCCCACCGAGAAGGCCAAACAAAAGGCACGCGCCAACCAACAAACTCCTCTTCCACCTCCTCTTCCTCCGCCTCCGCCTCCTCATCCTCCTCCTCCTCCAATTCAGACTTCTGTAGCCATTTGGGCTCAAGGCTTTGGTTTCCCAGCGGAAACAAGTGGATGCCGCTAGTCTGGGGCTAGACCCCAGTTTCTTTCATCGCACCGCTGCGCGAGCCGCCCCAGGCGACGCAGCATCCTGCGAGGCTCCTCGGAGCAAGACGACGACCCCGCCTGGTCAGCCCCGGGATCGGGAACAGACGCTCCAGCAACCATTGCGCCGAGGAGCTGCTGGCGCGACGCAGCGCCCTGGCGCGCCGGCCCCAACTGGAAGTGCACGGAGTGCGGGTGCGGCAAGAACCTCGGGGCCTGGACGCGGCGCAAGCACTGCCAAGCACCCGGGCACGAGC